CATTACATAGCAGTTATAAATCCTCAACTGTCACAGGGAAAATTACTTAATATATTTCTATCTTGTGTGTGTGTTGTGTGTGTGTTTGTGTGTGTGTACATAAGGAAAACTTTTGGATACTCGTTATCTAGTTGGTGCTTGATGTTTGTTGAAAATAATTTTATGACTGGCTATGGTGGTGCAGGTTAGGCTAAAGCAGAAAGATTGTGAATTTGAGGCCAGCCTGGGCTACCTAGTGGGAGTCTATCTCAAAAAAAAAAAATGCATAAGAAGAAAGTGAAGCTTACAGAATTAAATATAACTGATTATTTTCTCAGGACACTAACATATATTCAATGTGTAATTGTGATTAATACCAGTCATTTTTAGATGTTTTGATGCAGAATTACTCTTAATATCTTCTGTATAAGGTGTCTTATTTACTTTTCTTGATGTTGAGACAAAATAACTGACACCTAAAGTAATAGGAAAAAAGTTTATTTGACTTACAGTTTGTAGAAGTTTCAGTCCATAGTTGGCTAGCTCCAAGCTAGGGTAGCATGGCAGAGGGGCATTGCAAAGGAGAAACAGTTTGTGGCAGGAATAAAGCAGAAAGCAGCATAAAACAAGCAACCAGTAGCCCTTATATTTTATACATGCTACCTGCCCCGAGTAGCACTACTCACACTCTTAATCCTAGCATTCTACTTTGAGTCATTCCCAGCATCATACTCTCTAGATCCAGCCACCTCCAAAAAGCCCCACCTACAACCACATGAGGCTTTGAGGACATCTAGATACAAGCCATAACAATTAGTAACATTTGAACCTTAATAATTCTGACTAGGCTTTCAGATATTGAAATCTCAAAATAGTCTTAAACCTGAAACGGGTTACAACTTGGATAACTGTATAATTTATTATGCAGTGGGACACTTTTGAGAAAGGGGACTTTGTTTAAAATTAAGCCGGAGTCATTTTACAGGCAGACCAGGACATACAGTCACCTTGTTTGTTCATATATATATTTTTTTTATGTGTGTGGCACTGGAAATTGAACACAAGGGCCTCACACTGAGCTATATCCCTACTCCTTTTTATTTTTCATTTTGAGATAGAGTCTCACTAAGTTGCTCAGGCTGGCCTTGAATTTGGAATTCTGCTGCCCCTGCCTCCCAAGTAGCTGGGATTATAGGCATGTGCCACTTGGCCTGGCTTTGTGTTTTTATTTTTTTAGGTAAACTTTTAATTAAAATATACATTAAGAAAGCCCAAGGGGCCTGAGGCTGGAGCACAGTGCTAGAATGCTTGCCTAGCATGTGTGAGGTTCTGGGCTTGATTCCTAGTACTGAACCACCAGAAAACCCAAAAGAGTAAAAAGAAAGTCCTAGACAACTTGAATATTTGAGCTATCTAGATTAAGAAATAAAATACTACAATATCACAGAAGCCTTCTTCACAAATTTCTTTGGTAATTTAAAATTTTGTTTTAATTCCAAAGTCCATTGTTCTGACTTTTAGCTGTAGATAAATTTTGCCTATTTTTGAACTTTTATGTAAATGGCATCTTGTAGAAAATATACTCTTTGTACCTGTCCCCACCAATCCTGTGTTCTCTTGGTAAATACATCCATGTTGTGTGTAGCAATAGTTTACTCGAGTTTTTTTTTCTTTCTTTTTTTTGGGGGGGGTACTGGGGATCTAACTCAGCCCTTGTGCTTGCAAGACAGGTGGCAAAACTAAATCCCTGGCCCTGCTCAAGTTTATTTTTAAAATATTCCATTATTATGAATATACTACAGTTGATATAATACACTATTGACAAACAGTTGAGTTGCTCTTAGTATTTGGAAAATGAGAATAATACTGCTACAAACATACTTGTTTTTCAGTGTTTGGTGAAAATTTGTACTAAGTTGGATGAGTAAATAATTAGAAATGAAATTGCTAGGTCTTAGGATATGTGACTGTTTAGTTGTAGCAGGTAATGCCACTTTTCCTAAGTAAGTCTGTACTTCCAACAGTAGGTGAGAGTTCCATTTATTCTGGAGCCATCAGGGACTACTCATATCTTAAAGGCCCCCATCTCTTATTACCATATTACAGCAGTTAAATTTTGGAGTGGGCACATTCAAACTGTAGCACCATTAAAAGGAACATTTCATTGACATTTACACAATGTTGTGCAGCCACTGCCTCTATTCAAAAACTGTTCCTCTAAAATAAAACCCCTTATGCAGTTTCTCTCTATTCCTTCACCAGTCTGCATGGATATTGATTCTGGATATTTCATATAAATGGAATCATACAGTATGTGACCCTACAGGTCTGAATTCTTCATTTGACCCATTTCTGAGACTCATCCATGTTGTACTATGGGTCAGGACTTATTTTTTTAAGGCTGTAAGTTTCCATTGTATATATATAT